CACCTGGGCACCTTCGGGAGTTGCCAGAACAAGGTTCCTGGTGCTTTTCCCAGGGCTCCTGGGCCACCACCCTACCAGCCCCTGGATATGACCAGAAGCAACACCCAGGATGGCACCCACTGGGCGCCCAAGCTCCACCCAGGGCCTTCTGCTCCCTAACCTTCTGCTGCCCCCTTGTGGGTAAAGCCTCCCTCACAGGGTGCTCACCTGGGTGACCCCCGACCATGAAGGGGACCAAGACACCACTGGCCTCAACACCCCTTGTTCAGGCAACTTCCGCAGAGCCCAGGCTGAGCCCCAGCTGCTCATCCGGGCCAGAACTGAAGATGCACAGGGCATCATCAAGGGCAGGAGTGAGCATATCTCCCGGGGTTCACCCAGGCAGGGAGCTGGGGCCTGTCCGCATGAGGAGCCAGAGCAGTGAGGTGGCCCACACAACAGGAGGTGGCCCTGGCACCCGGACTGCATCTTCCAGCCAGCCCCTCCCCGGGTGAACCCCCTCCCGATTTTCCTTCTTGCCTTCCTACGTTCCTGCCACCCTTCTGCCAGGTATCCGTCCACTCCGGGGTCACTGAATCCATTACAACCCCTCTCTTCACAAGCCCACTTATTTATTCATGTTCTTTCTATCCCTTAGTCCCCTTATTTCTTCCCAAAGCTTGCCTTTCTCCCTCAGTCTCACTTTGCCTTATTTTTTATCATTTAGAAACTCCGGTGCCCAGAGCTGTAGGAATCTGGGCCCGTACCCCACACCTGCCTCCCTGCGCCTTGAATCAGTCTCGGTCTTCAGTCACTATCTCGACACTCGCGAGAGGGTGCTTCCAGTCTCCTGTTTTGGAATTTTTCACTTGTCATCTCCGGGGAACATAACTGCCTTGGTCTGAACCCCATGCACAAGGCCAACTCCAGCAGCCCCTGGACAGGACTGCATCTGCTGACTCCCTTCCCTGCCTGCAGGCACCTTTGCTATTTATTCTTCCATTCATGGACCTCAACTGCATATATTTTGTTACAGTAGTAGAAAGAAGATGCAGCCTTGTTTCAGAGCCTGGGATGTTCCTATTTTTTATTTATTCTCTGAAAGATGTAACGCATTTATCTATTTAAGGAGGATGTATGCGAACTCATTATAATCCCTGTTCAGACAGCCTCTCTTAATTTTCCATTTATCACTTGATTAGTAGTCTATTAGAGCTCCCCTTTTTTGCTTCTGGTTGTTGTCTTTGTTGTTTTTCTGTCCTCCTTCCTCCCCCTAGGCACCTGGGTCTGGATTACCTGCTCCATCTCTAGGATTCAAGGCAACCTCATTACTAATCCTGAGACTCCTTCTCAGATACACCCCCGCGTGCATGGGTTCCTTCTCATTGTCTTATCCCTTTCTCTTCCGTTCCATTTCATTCCGCTTTCCTTCTCTCTTCTTTTGACTCTGACAGTTTCTTTCTTCCATCTCTTCACTCCCAGGGACCTCAGCTGCCCAGAATGAGAGGGGAATCCCATGGGCCGCTCTGTCTCGCCTGCCCCAGCCATGTCCATTTCGAATTCAGTCTTTCACTTATCCATTCATTCTTTCTGCCACTCTTTTATTTCAATATTTATTCTATTCTTTATGGACCTCAGGTGCACAGAACTGGATTTACCGTAATCTGAGGTTCTCGGAGCCATCTTGACAGCGGTCCATTCGGGGCTCTTTTTTGTTCCTTAATTTCTTGTACTGCTGCTCTGGTCTAGGATTCATTTAACTATCTCAGCAGCCCAGTTTTGAGTTAGTCATAATTCTTGCTCCCTTTTCCCTTTTTATCCCTGTATGGCCTTCGCTCACACATATTTGTGTATGTATTTATGCATTCAATGTGTTTTTATTGCTTATATCCATCTTGTCACAATTTTCTATATTCCTTCCTTCCTTGCTTTTTCTTTTGCATTCTCTTATTCTGATGAGACTTGGGTGCAAAAGGGAATGATTTAAAAACATCACCTCTCACTCATTTATGGTCAGTCCCTAAGTTATCCTTTCCCTGTGATATTTGCTCTTTTATTGATGAACCTCCACCATTACTATTTATTACATTTAATAAACAGTGTTTACTCATTATATTTAAAGGCTCATCCAGGCAGTGCTTTTCCTTCTGCATGTCTACTTTCATTTTGTTCTACATTTTTCCTCCCCTCATTCCTTCAGTTTTTCCAGCTCTCTTCCTTGCGCCCCCAAGGAGTGCAAACATTTATTCCTTCAGACTTTCGCTTCCACTGAATTGTTTTACTAGCGATAGTCTTTAGGGCCACAATCTTCCTTGTCTGTTTGTGGTTGTTTGTTTGTTGTTTTGTGGTGGCAGGCTGGAAGCCAGGGCCTCACACATGCCAGGCAAGGCTGCACTGCTGAGCGAGACCCCAGCCCTGGGCCCCCATTCTGAATTAATGTGGATGACTTGTGCTGAACAAGCCCCCTTCTCATAGACCTCATTGTTCCACTTACTATCTTTTCCGCTTTTTCTTCCACTTCCATTTTTTCCCATCTTATTGTTCCTCTCTATCACTGTCTTACCCTTTTCTTCCCCAGTTTAACACCCAGGCTCAGTGGACCCTCGCCTGCTCTACACCACCCCCTCACTGATGAATGCAAATTTTTTCTCTTTCATGCATTCATGCATCCAATCCATTCAGTCTTCCTTTCTATTTAAATACTTATTTCCACACTTTCAGAAGGCAGGTGCACCTAATTGGACCCATCGAAGTCTGCGGTCAATGACCCCCACCCCCCGCCCCATGGACTCCTCTCCTCCCTAAGGCATCCACACTCTGAACTGCCTCCTGGTTAGCTGGGTACTGGTCCATCCCAGGAGCACAGATGTGAATGAACCGCATGGGCTTTCCTAACATGGTGTGTCCTCTCTCTCTCTCTCTTTCTCTCTCTCTCTGTCTCCTGCATTGTTATCTGTCTGTGTATAGTCAATATATCACCTTTCTTCTTCTTAGCTAGTCTTACATTATTTTTCATTCTTTCTCTTTCTCGATCCTCTGGGTATTCTCTCATTCTCTGGCACTCAGCTCCCATGCCCTGCTGCCTCACTAACCCACCTGCAAACACCTTTCTCTGACCTATGCAGCTCCTCAATCATTCACTAATTCCTTCTTTCCTTCACTCATGCACATCACCCTTCCAGCCTGCCTTCTTTTTCTGTAGGAAGTACTTAGTCCTCCCTTCATGGGATTAGGTGCTCAGACTGAATTCTAGCCTAACCCTCACGCTCACAGATCTATCCATTCATCCCCCTAGTAGCTCGTTTCTGTCTGTCTCTCTCCCTTTCATTACAGCTCTCCCCCTAGCCCCGGCCTCTCACTGCCTGGTCTTATTTTCACAGAGCTGGATGCACAGATGGCACTAATTACACCACCAACACCCTCTCTGAGATCCATCCTCACCTCCTCCTCTCTGTTTCTTTAGATGCTCCCTGGTTTGCTCCTTTACTTATTATTTTACCCACAGATGTGGCTTAGAAGTGAATGAACCACAAGCCGGGACTCAGGACAGTCTCTCTCACCATTGCCTCCTTCCTGTCCTTCAGGTCTTTTATTTGTTTGTCCAGTAATGTATTTCTGCAGTCAACAGTCGTTACATTTTGCTCTTATTTCTTGATTTTAACCCATATTCTATTTCATTTTTTTTTCTTCCTTCCTATGTCCTTTCATTGAAAAGATCTCAATTCCCAGACCAAGCAACTCAACAGCCCTGAGGCCCTTTTCCCAGCCTGAGATACACACATTTCTCCTGTTTACTCAACCACCTATGTTTGTTTTTTTTTTTTTTGCTTTCTTTCTATTTCGGTATTTATTGATGTGAAAACTTTGGATGCCCAGAGTAGTTAACTTTTGCTTAAAGTACACTCTCATCCTTAGTCCACTGTATCCCCCTCCTTTCTTCATTCTTCTTTGAACTTTTTCTGTGCTTTACCTTTCTAGGCCAGGAGCAAATGTAACTGTGCTAACATTAACACCTGCCTTATAATAACCTGATATGGTCTTCCTTACATATTTACACTCCCTAATACTTTCCTCTTTCTTCCTTTGTTTTCACTTCTTTTCCTCTTCCTTTTCCACTTATCTCTTATTCTTCCTGCCTTCCTTTTTTTTATTTTGATGGGCCTCAGAAGGTCAAAACAAGGGGCTAGAGATGTAGCTTAGAAGTAGCCCTATCATGTGTAGGGCCCTGGGTTCGATCCACAGTACTTAAAAAAAAGTCAGCCTTGGTTTATGTATTTCCACTTCTCATTCATTCATTTGGGCTTTATTCTCTTATTGACAAACCTCAGGGGCCTGTATTTGAATGGCATACATTCCCTAGCCCTCGATAAGCCTGTGGCAGTTTGGATATGGCCCTATGCACTTACTGACTAAATGTCTTATTGATTTATCTGTTTATCGCTTGTGCATCAAAATGAATGCATAATCAATGTACTTCCTCACCCGACCTGCTAACTTCTGTCCCTACTTATGTTTCCTCAGTCCTTCCTGGTTTGTTCCTTCATCTAATCATTTATTACAGAATGTAATCGATACCAGGGAAACAACCTTCCAACCAGAAAACCACGACCCTCTCAGCTCTCAGTGTCCTAGACCTTCCTGCTTCCTCCTGCTGAGTTCACCGCCAAGGTGCACAAACCCAGAGCCCAGAAACACACACACGTGGCAGATGCGGAGATAGTGCATCAGGTCCTACCGGGCTCCCACTCCAGACAGCCTGGGGTGGATCGGAGACTGGACCCCCACCCCCCAGCCCCTTAGCAGGGCAGGCATTTCTCACTCTCCTCCTGGACCCCAGTGAATGGCCATCCCCATGAGAAGCCTGTTTCAAGACCCCAGAATACACAGACACACATGTTACATAGCCTTCCCTGGTGGGAAACGACAGACACAGAGTTCATTTGCAAATAGGTGGCTTTGTCTGTAGCAATATAAAAATATTTTGGCCTTTCAAGGCAAATACAAAAGAAACTCCCCATTACCATTCCTGAGTGTCCCAGTCCCAAACAATAAAGAACTTGAAGAGGTTTAGCCGGAAACTTTGAAGACAGAAAACCTGCCCATTATGTTTTCCAGACATTTCGAGGGGGTGAGCGCAGGTCACCGGAGTGAAGCCCGTTTGAGAGGCGGGTCCTTCCATCCTCATCTGCCCTGCCACATGAGAGCCAGAGGGAGACTCAATGATGAAAGAGCCATTCATTGAGGAGAGTGAAAAAAGAAATTCTTTGGGGGTCCCACACTCGAAACTGCCTACAGAATTCCTTGGCCACAGAGACAACAGCAGGAGGGACCGGGGCTCTTGTCTTAGAACACGAGCCCAGGTCGACACCCACCTGGCTCACTGGGCACCGCACCCCTCCCGCCTGGCAGTGTGTGTGCTGGTCCAGGGGTGACGGCCCCCTGTGTCAGCGACAAGTGTGCTCATTATGCTCTGGCGACTTACGATTCGGAGCTGGGGGGCACTGGGGTGCCAGGCAAGGTATCCGAAGTCCTGTCCCACGCAGGTTTCCCAGTGGTGGTAACTTTGGCTGCAAGGAAAGAGTGGGAGATGATGGAAACTGGGTGGGTGAGGAGGAGGCTGGCCACCTGGGTGAGAAGGGTGACGGCTCTGCCAGGGGCACAGGTGGCCCGAAGCAGGGACTCCCCAGCTCCTAACAGGTGTGGAGTCTGCGACGTCAAGCACTTCTCTCGTTACACTGAGCATGGGGTCGATTCAGGCCCTGCAGAACAGGGAGCAGGGTCCCCAACCCCGGAGGGTTGGTGCTGCCTGCAGGACAGAGGCCCCTCTGTGGAGCCACAAGTTGAGGGCTGCACACACAGGTGAGGACCACACTGGCACCCTGAGGTGGTGGCCCACTCCCTGGACTGCTGTGGCCTCAAAGGCAGGATATCCGGACATCCGCTGCACTGTGAGAAGAGCCAGGAGCCCAGCCAGGCCCAGCAGAGAAGCGGAGTGAGGACAGCAGGCCTGGGCTTGGGCCCATGCCAGGGTTGTGGGCAGTGTGAGCTACACCACAGCACACAGTGCGAACACAGGGTGACATCAGCCGAGCCTGGATAGACATCTCCACTTCACAGGGTGCACCTTGTAAAGACACCCAGGGGCACTAGGACCAGGCCCAGCGAGGCTAGGCATCGGCCTTCGCCTCACACTCTGGTTCTAAAAAGCAAGGTCAGCAAGGTGAGCATGAAACCCTCAGAATGTGCAGCGAAGTGAGCCCCGAAGGTGTGGACACAGACGAGGACTTTACACGGGAGCCGGGCCCTGCCTAGTGCTGTCTCATCAGTGACACCAGACCAGAAGATGTCCCCGAGAGGGGAACTGGCAGGGGAAGGGATGGGAAGTCTGGATTTCCTTCAACTTTTCTTAAACTAAAAACTACTTGGAAGGAAAAAGGCCATTAAAATATTTTTTAAATGACTTGACTTCAAAAATCTATTACTAGAGCCAGGTAAAGCTGAAGAGGTGACTGGAAGCCAAGGAGATCTGTCATTTCTCAAAGAAGTAAAAATGGCCAAGGCGTTCGTGAAAAATGTTCACCAGCTTCTGCCACCATGGAAACGCAAACCACAACTGCAGATGAGACTCCTTCTCGCCCCTGGCAGAAGGGCCGCCATCAAAACTACAAAACACAGTAAGAGGGCGGGGGATTTAGCTCAGTGGTTTTGCTTTCTGCTACGCAAGAGTAAGGACCCGAGTTCGATCCCTGGTACCAAAAAAAAAAAAAACACAGTACGTGCTGGCACGGACGTGGGGTGGGGCCCTTCTACACTGCTGGTGGGAATGCAGATTAGTACAGCCATTATGGAAATCAGCCGAGGTTCCTCAAAAACTAAAAACAGAATTATTGCAGACCCAGCTATACCACTCCTAGGTAAGGTATATACCTGAAAAGATTGAAGTCAGCCTGCTATAGCGAGACTCACATACCCATGTTTATTGTGGAACAGTTCACAACAGCAAAGATATGGAACCAGCCTAGTGCCCATCAGCAGATGAACGGATAAAGAAAATGTGGTAAGTATATGCCATGGAACACTATTCAGCCATAAAGAAGAATGAGGCTGAGGCACTTGCAAGCAAATGGATGGAACTGGAGTTCATTATATTAAGCAAAGTAAGCCAGGCTCAGAAAGACAAGTACCGTGTTTTCCCTAATACATGGGAGATTTTTTTGAAAAGACATGAACCTAAAAGGGAGACTATTATTAGATTAGAGGAAAGGAATAAAGGTGAGGCCAGGGAGGTCTAAGGAAAAATGTAATGGGGGATGGATATGATCAAAATATATTCACGTATTTAAAAAATTTTGTTGTTTTTCTGAGGTAGGGTCTCACTCTGTAGCCCAGGCTGGCCTCAAACTTGTGCCCATCCTTCTGCCTCCACCTCCCCAAGTGCTGGGATTACAGGTGCGCACCCCCACTCCTGGCACTGAAAAAACTTTTAAATAATAAAAAGAAAATGAAGAAAAAAGAAAGGAGGTTCTGTGGCAGCAGGGAAAGTGGGGGCCAGGGCACTGGGGCAGGAGAAGAGCGATGCCCGTTTGGAAACAGCTCTCCTGGTGAGACACAGGTGGAGACAGGAGGTCGGAAGACCAGAGTGGAGGCCCCCGAGGCCTCCTGAGGGACAGAGAGGCAATGAGGAGGCACGAGACTGCAGTAGGCTTTGACACTTGGGTACAGGCTGCCAGAGCCCGGTCCTGATGGCCCACTAGTGACCAGAGAGGAAGAAACACCCACCAACTCTGCACCCCACCCAACATCAGCCACTGGGGGACTCGGCTGCCACCTTTCCCTCTCCACTCCAAGGCAGGTCTCTGGCTGGGGCCCCAAAACCCTGCCGGGGCACAGATGGGACATCTCTTGCTTCCAAATCATCCTACAAACTCTTCCCTTGCCTCTGCACTTCCCCAAACACACTTTTCCCATACAGTCGATGTGATAACCACAAAATACTAAGAACTCTTGAGAATGAGGGTCCACCAGGCAGCAGCCGCCTCCTGGGGGACCTGGGCAGGCAGCTCTGGCTCTCTGAAGGCTCAGGACCCAGGATGCTGGGAATACCATGGACACCATGCAGCCCGCCCCACAAGCCCTGCACGGCTCTGGTGATCACAGCCCCAGCCCTGTGCTAACAATGGCTCTCCAGACCAAGGACACTCAGCAAGACCGAAGCCCTGCCATTTCCTGCAGGAGTAAGAGCCTGTCCTTGGGCTTGTTGCTTCTGTTTTTATCTATTTCATTTTAATAGAGTAGGGAAATCAGAAGAAGCTCAGGGTATCTGGGTTTTTTTCTTGCTTCTGCTCCGGGGACCCACTCCACGGACCAGCAGACCCCAGGCTTCTGTGCTGTGATACAGTCCCCCCAGAGTCGTGTCTTGGTTTCAGAGCTGCATGTACTGGCTCCAGGTTTGCCCTGATGTATTAATCAGGCAGTGAGGGGCTGGAATCTTAACAAATGTCAGAAAAGCTGCAGTGGTGAGTCTGTCTGGAACTAAAGGAAAACACAAGGCCTCCTTAGAGAGTCTAGAGGAACCAATGTCACAAGCGTTTGGTCAGAAGACCTCACAGATGTGTGCAATGAGCTCACGACGCATTTGGAGAGTGTTGCAGACACGCCAAACCCAGTCTCGAGGCTTAGCAGGGTTAGAACACTCTAGCCCTGTGTTCGGAGGTTTGAAAAGTTACTCTCTTCCAGAAGTAAATAGGACCTAATTGATCCGGTACATCTTGGTACAAATATCATATGTATGTTTCAAACAGAGAAAAACATCAAAGGATTTTTTTTATTAAAATGTTTACTTCAAGAAATAGAGCCAGTAATTACACAAATAATCAGCCTTGCCTCTGATCTCCTACTTCCTACCTGTTGAGTGCATACTGCCCCCTTAGAACTTCCCCTGGCAAATGCAAGCTCTTTGCACAGCTGATTTCCTGTACCTTTGTGAGACTTGGGCCCTAGACATTACAGGCCCATTTATGAAAATGGGAGAGGTAATTGGGATATCTTTTGAAACTGTGTCCCACTCCAGCACGAGTCCCCCACCATCCCTCTGATTTCAGTTGGTCGGGTTACAGAGGATGTTTACATATGCTTCTTCCTGGAATTTCACCTCTTTGCTGCAGGAGTGGGCAATTAGAGAGAATTAGGGCCTATTTGGCGTATGTTTACCATTAATGGACAGAGGCTGAGGCAGCCTTGAAAAAGCAGTCTGCCGGTCTAATTGATGCTGGCAATTTTTTGATTCCTCATTTCAGTTCACAGGTATTGTAGCAACCAGGGTCACAAAACAAAAGCTCCAGCCCACCATGGTAATCACCAGGCACAGGCCTGCCTGAAGGTCCTGGAACTGCTTGTTCCTACTCTCAGGAGCTCCTAGCAAAAGCTGGAGACATCTGCAAAGCCGAGGAGGTGGGCAGCGGGAGCAGGATGCCTGCCCACCGCTTTTCCAGAAGTCCCCATCCTGATGGCTTTTGCAGAGGTCCCAGCTGAGCGGGCTGTGGTGCTACCGTGGGTGTTGCCAAGGTCTCCTGACCCAAAGGCACACAACGGGCCACCAGGATAGTACCGCCAGGCCACACCCTCCTGGGACAGAAGCCACAAGTCCTTATTACACAAGAGTCGCGCTACAGCCCAGAAAGGGTTTCCAAGCCTGGCCCGCGGCCCACTGATTTGGAACAACGATCCATAACATGCGGTCCCTGCACCACAGGATGAGGGACAGCCCCTGGGCCCTCCCTGAAGTCCCTGGCTCTGACCTACACCAAGATCTATGTTCCCAAAAAGCTGATGATGAGGACCTGGCTCATGACTATGACCCTCAAGCAGGAGCTGGAGGCTGGCACTGGGCTCCACACCACTGCCTGCCATCAGCTGGCTATGTGCCTGGAGTGAGGCCCTGGCCCTCCAGCATCTCCAGCCCCCTCATCTCTAAAGCAGAGAGACCGTGGGCCCGAGGTCTTTAAGGTCCCCACAACTCAAGACCGTGATCAGATACACAAACCTCAGCTAACTGACCCCCAAGAAAGCCTGAAGGAGCCCTGAGACCTACAGAGCTCCAAGGGCCCCCAGAGGACCAGAGGCCTGTTCCCCCTACTTTGCAGATGGGAAAATGAGGCCCAGAGGGCTGGGCACGGGGACCAAGATCCCAGGCACAGTCCAGGGAAGACTCTGGCTTCTGAGGTTTACAGTTGTTTTGTTCTGTTTTGTTTTTGCAGTGCTAGGATCGAACCCAAGGCCTTGGGCATGCTCAGCAAATGCCCTACCACTGACCTACCTCCCAGGCCTTGAACCTAGCAGCCATGGTCTCTCCTCTGCCACCTGGAAAATCACAGAAAGTGAGCCTGGCCAAGAGGCTAGTGGAAACCCAAACTGTTCTCTCCTGGGGAAAGCAGGGGCCTAACACCCTGGGCTACTTTTTACAGAACAGGTAGAATTCACAGGCTGCTGGCTCATGTTACAGAAGGGGAAACTAAGGCCCAGGAGCCCACAACAATGAACAAGACACTGGCCATGACTGAGGCCTAGATGACTCCCTCCTCCCTCTCTCGTGGCAGGGGTTGTGCAGAGTGGCCTGGCACCTAGGCCACACTGATGGCCTCCTATCGTCCTCCTAACCACACAATGTCCCTTGGATTCAGAGCCCCCACCATGGCAAGGGTGACGCCACCTGCACCCAGCCCCTACAGCATGGCCGGGAGCCAGGGCCAGAAGGCCAAAGGGCCGCACAGCTAAGCTAAGTGGCTGGCACGGAGGCGCGCTCAAATCTTGGCCCCTTCACTGTCTTCCTTCCCCAACATCCCGTCCCGTGGTTGTCCCCTCAGCCCTCTCTGACTCCACGGCTGTCATTCAGCCTCGGGCCCAGTTTGATCAAACCCCTGTCTACCGACACTATCACTGTGACTCTTCTTTCCTAAGAAACTTGCAGAAATCAAGCCTAGAATGAAGAGTGCAGCATCCTGAAGGTCACACAGAGAGCCGACTGGTTGCAGGATCTGTGCCCGAGGCCCGGCAGCCAGGACCAGGGCCCTGAGGCCCAGGGGAACACACGCACTCCATTCCGGGAAGGTAATTGAGATTTTCTTCTTTTCGTCTGAAGAAAGGGCACCTTCCATTGACAAAGTGCATTCAGGGGACCTGGGGAAACTCATCTGCAGCTTGTCCTCCCAATTATCCCCAGGTGGCTGTGCTCCAAGGGGCCCCCACATCCCTTTCTGCCCGCGCCTTTGTTTCCCGCTGAAGGGGCCCTGCGAGCTCCCAGGCTAAGAGTCTGCTCCTTAAGCCCCTGCCAAAGACCCTATTCACTGTGTAAAGGGACGAGATGCCAAGCACAAGGTGGTGGGGCACCCTCCTCCCTGCCCCCAGCAAGGGGAGCTAAGAACTCTCCATCTGCATTTTTTCTGAAGCCCAAAGAAACTGTAGAGCAATAAAGAAAGCCATGACTATACCCTCAGACCGTCCTCTCCTAATTAATTCCTCTCCCACACACAACCTATTCGAGCTGGGGGCAGGGGGCTCGGCCCCAAGCACCAGCCTGCCCTGCACACCAAACTCCAGTGGTCACCCGGGACTCGGGGGTGAAGGGAGACACCACCAGGGACCTCATGGCAGTCTAAGTCAGTTACAGTGGCCAGCTTTCTCACCTGGCCTCAGGACTGGACAAACGTAGAAGGCACTGGAAACCGCAGGGTTGGTGACCCCCTCAGACGGGCCTGTTGGGTGCCAGGAAGGCCAGGAGCCCTCGCCTGGTGTTGGCCTCACCTGTGGCAAGACCCCAAAGTGCCCCAACAGGGGTCACCGTAGAGGAAGCCCCCTTGTCCCCACTGTGCTCCCAGGGTCCTTCACCCCACTTTCTTGGCTCTGACTCACCCATGTCGCAGAAGCAATGCTGCTACGCACTGCTTCCCTTCCCTCAACCCCGACAACAGCCCGGCCTCTTTGAGGCCTGGAACTGCTCTGTGTGACCTGGCTGGGTGCAGTGGCCTCTTCTGGAAAGGTGCATCCTTCCAGAATTTTCTGACTGCTCACCACACTCGGATGGGAGAGCAAGCAGGACTTCCTTACTGCTCCTTCGGGATGGGGACAGCGTTCAAAGTGGCAGGGGGGAGGGCCCATTCCCAGGACTTACATTCCACCTTAAATCCCAGTCTCCTAATGAAGAACATGGTCCCTATTCTCCCAAGCTTTCCTGCAGGCCTCTGCCTGTAACCTGGGGGACCCTCGCCTGTCTCCCTCCTCCCCCTCTGTGTAAAGCTCCCTCCCTCTTTCCAAGGAAAGTTTCATTAGCAACCTCATTAAAAGATGGGTGCATTTTTTCCCAATGGTTTCTGGAAGTCAGATTCCTCATAAAGAACACATTTAGGTTACTTCATGTAAATGAATGAATAAGAAACACATGCATCCTGTTGTCCTTAAGTCTTGCCAGGTTTTGACATTATTTGGAGAAATGCACTTGGAGTTTGGATCACAACTCAGAAGCCATAAGGTCAGCGGCCCTAAAACCTGAACCAGCAACTCACAGATGGGACCTGGGAGGGGGCCGCTCTGTTCCTCTCCATGAGCAGAGTCTGCTAAGTTGTTTGCTTGTTGTCTGTTTATTTTTGCAGTGCTGGGGATGGAATGCTGTGTGCTAGGCAAGTGCTCTACACTGCGCTGCACCCCAGACCCCAGCTAAAGTCCTGATTCCCTCTCCTGTCTATCCAGGGGCTTCCAGACAAGACTGCCACCTTTCTCCTACATCTGTGCACCCTGAAGCCGCTGGGGACTACTGAGCACAATGAAAAATGACCAGAGACCCCCTCCCACCCATGGGCCCCTGGGGTTACGAGGTCCTGTGCACCTTGCTGTCTACCCGTCAGGGTCTCATTTCCGCCCTTTTCGTTCAGGGACTGACCAATCCATCAAAAAAGAATTCCCTGAAAATGATCCTGTCCTTCCACACTTAGCAGTGTGACCTTTCAGTAATTCCTGTGGTCATGTCTTCGAGGGTGACGTAGTATTATGTTTGGTTCAGCCTCGCTAATTGAGAACTTTCATTTGCCTGAGATCTAACATCCATAAGAGCCTGCAACGTGACTTAGTGCAATGGTGGCCCTGTCCCAAACTCCCAGCTGAACGGGGAGGCTGGCATCTGGGTGAGTGGGTGGGGGCTTGCTGGGCTGTGCCTGTGGCTCCTCAGCACCCTGTCACCCTTGCCCCTTGGCTCAGCCAAGTGTCCCTGAGGAAGGAGCCCAGGAGCCGTGGCCATTCCACTCCAACCAGCCATGCCTCTGCTTTGCGCCCCAGCTACGATGCCCCAGGAGCCACATCCTGCCTGCACGGAGCTCCCCTCCCAGGCCTCTCTCCACATCACTGTGTTTGCAGGTGGCTCAGCAAATGCCAGCCTGGAGTAAATGTCACAGGGCAGTGCCTTCTGGTACCCTGGGCACACACTCCCCACCTGCCTGCAGCCCGCCGGGCCCTCCAGAGACCAAAGACAAGCAGATGAGGCAGCAGCCTGGGCTGGGCTCCTCTGCCCTGAAGCCTGCAAGGCCTGCTGGAGTTTGTTTAAAATTACCATCCCTATCCCCGGGGAGAAGGGCAGGGCTCCAGAAGGGCCGCCTCCAACACATCTGTCTGATTAAAGAACATCCCAGAAGCTGCGTTGGAAAACAGAGGCCCCTGGGAAGGCAGGTTCACACACCTAGGGGCACTCAAGGATGGGGCCTGGCACAGAGCTCTGCCCAGAGACCTGGGCCACGAACAGGGCGGGGGCACCACATGGAGCCCCATGAAGGACATTTATCCGCTCCTCCCATCCTCCTGCCCTCAGCCTTCACCACACAGCCCTGGGCCCAGGCAAAGTGGGGCCTGGCAGACAGACAAGGTCAACCGCAGACCCCTGCCCTTCACGCACAGCCTGGTGTCCCCCACTTCCCCCAGCTCAGAGCCCTGGCTGCTTTGTGAATGCATCCTGAAGACCAGGAGGGGACTGTGGGACTCTAATCCTCGCTTTCTTCTCCTCCTCTACTATTACTGATTTTATTTAAACAAACAACAACATTCCCATCACACGGCAATTGCGAGGGTGAGGAAAGGGGCCAAGGGAAGCATGCCCCCCCCACCCACCCCCCGTGTAAGGACAGTGTCAAAGCCGGAGTGTGGGGTTCTCCCGGGATGGTGTTGCCATGGAGGGCAGGAGAAATGCCCTGGGGGCGGGGGGAGACAGCCCCTTCCGGGTCTCCAAACAGCCCTGCTGGCCAGCAGGGGCACCCAGAATGCATTTCCTCTCAAGTGCAGCTTCTGCGAGTGCCTACTGTGTCCCTGGCCCGGCTGTGCCCAGAGTGGAGTGTCCCCACTTACCGTGACCCATGTGGACTCCACGGTGCCACTCGGGTGCCTGCCCGGGTCTCCTCTGCAGGCAGGCCCCAGGCCCCAGCCCTGAGTGCAGGCGCGAGGTCGACGGATGTCCCCCTCCTGTGCCCCACCTGAAATGTTTACATTCCTGCTGACCCTAATAAAACTGTGTGTGTGTGTGTGTTTGTGTGTGAGAAAGACGCAAGAAACTCACCCCGAACCAGGACGGAGGCGAAGGAAGAAGAGAGTGGAGAAGTCTTGGGCAGTGGCTCCTGTGGGTCCTCCCCGTTACTTCCGTCCGAAGTCCTTCAGCCTGACCAGCCAAGGTCACAGCCATGGTGGAAAAGGCCAGCTTTGGGGATGGGCAGGGAGTCCAAATTATTGCAAAGTAAGAATGGGAAACACAACACGCGCATGCGCGCGCGCGCACACACACACACACACACACACACACACGCACACACACAGAGCACATCTCACCTGCAGGCTGCTTTTCGGCGGTATGAGGTGACCGGGTGGGACGAGTCGGGACAGGAAAGGGTGGCCCCCCGAAACCAACACCAAGTGGCCAGCAGGGTGCCAGGAGGGGCTGAGCCCGGCCTCTCGGGGACATGGTAGTGGGAATGGGCAGAACATGACAAGGGGTCTCGGGCCCATTGAGGACCCTGGCCACAGGGACCTCGGAAGCTGGGCCCGAGGGAAGAGGCATCTGAGCAGCATGGTGGCCAGTGAGACATGGAGCCCATGGCACCAGGAACCTGTTGGAAACTGAGGCAACACTGAGCGAACTAAGGAGTCGAGTCTAGACCTGGGGAAGGGACTGAGGGCAGCAGGTGGGACAGGTGGCCACAGTGTGGGCTTGCAAGGACAGAGGGCTGGGCAGGGCAGACCACACCCAGTGACCAAGGCAGAGGGGCAACAACACGACAGGTGGGCACAGTGACCAGAGGCAGGAGCAGTGGAAGGCCAGGCAGGTAGGAGGACCAGTCAGAGGCAGAGCCCGCAGGCGACCAGGGGGTTCCCTGCCATCTGTCCTTTTGCCTGGGACATGGTCCCCACCCAGCAAGGATGTACCAGGGGGCTGAACAGGGCCCCCAGGGAGGAAGATGCTGAGGGAGGGTCCAAGTCACAGCGCCCCCACATGTCCTCATGTGCCAACACCTGGTACACCTCAAGGCCTTCCCCGTGCACCAGGCCGGGAGTCCACACTCAGTTACGGGGCTGGGTGCAGGGCCCAGGGACAGGCAGGTGTGCGGTTTGCGTGGAAGACCCAACAGGCTTCCAGGCTGCCCCGCACCCTCTTGCTGCCCACTACAAAGCCAGAGCCCGCTGCTCCGGCACCTGGGACAACCCCCCAGCTGCCCTCCCTGGGAAACAGAGGCCATCAAGGGACACGCTAAGTGGCAGGTGCCCAGCCCGGGGCTGGCGCCATGGGCACGCTCAGTTAGGATCAACTGTTGGCCGACGGAATGGACGCGCGGGTGAATGAGGGCCAGACCCACAGTCCCCTGCAATCGGGGCTGTGGGGAGCTGCCCACCCCCAGCCCCCACCCTGGTCCTGGCACTCCTGTGTGGCCCACTGCTGCTCGTAGTGGCGGTCGAGCCCGTCATTCACCCACCTGCCCAAACAGACGTCCCACATACTCTTACTGAGCCCCACTCTATGCCAGGCTGGTGCTGGGACACCCAGAGGAGGGGGGGCTGGCCTAGGGCACCCCAAGAGGACCACATTAGAATGGGAGGGAGAGGAAGAGACAGGAGACTGAGAAAGCAAACAGCACAGGAGCAGTGAAGGCAAAAAAGAAAAAAATAGCAATTCTGAGAAAAATGAGGGAGGCTTTCTGGACCCCACACATTTCACTTCCCATCTGACTGGAGCTGCCTCCCGCTGTCTCCCTAGGAGCCATGGAGGGGAAGGGGGGCTGTACCCATCTCTGGTACAGAGCCTCTCAGGAGTCTAGGAAATGGTTCAGAGTGCAGCCCTGCACCCTAGGGAGCAGATAGCTCAGATCTCGCTTGTGGCTTTAAGGGGACTTCCCAGGTGGGTTCTAAAGACCCAACCATGCTGGGCGTGGTGGCACACACCTGTGATCCCAACACTCAGGAGGCTGAGGCCGGAGGATGGCCATGAGTTCAAGGCCAGCCTCGACGACACAGTGAGACACTGTCTCAAAAAAAAAAAGAAAAGAGAAAACAAAGATCCAAGCAGTTAGAGTTGGGGGGTGGGCATCTCAGTCACCCTACACTGGAGGCTGGAGACCCTGGACGCCAGGTGTCTCCCCACCCTCCCCAGGCTGTGAACTACCCACAGGGCCACCAGAATGTCCACAGTAGCTCTGGGGCCTCTATCTGAATGGTTGATATATAGCAGAGGGCAAGAAGGGGCCTGTGGATTATTTTTTACTGCTTAAAAGAAGTCCTCATCCAGGAGTAGTAATGGAAGCCTGTAATCTCAGCACTCTGGGAGGCTGAGCCTGGGTGACTTAGGGAGATCCTGTCTCAAAATGTTAAAAAAAGGGCTGGGGGTACAGCTCAGCAGGAAGGACCTGGGTTCCAGCCCAGTACCGAAAAGAAAAACAAAGAGATCTCTCCCAGTGTCACAAACTGTTGGTTCCACTCTCTGGAGGCCGCATGGGTAAGGAGATGCCTTGTGCCACCCGCTCCCTGCTTCCCTGTCCTGAGTCCCAACACCTTCCTGGACAAGGTGGACGACTACATTGCAGGCGCGCGGAAGCCTCCCTTCCACAGGGTGGGGCAGAGGGCACCTGAGGCTCCGCTTCCACAGGAACACAGTCCACCTTGCCTCTGCTGGGATGTGGGCCAGATCTGGTGTTGCTGACTGAGAAAGAGCATCCAGCTCCAACCCATCATGAACCCACAGAACCTTGGGGCGGGGGGGGCCTCGAGTTTGGGACTAATAAATAACACTTTCTTGCTTCGGCCACCTCCCTTCTCCTCTAGTTTTTTTCCACTCCGATGAAGGTCTGGTGAGGGACTAAAGTTTAACTGGAGTGATCTAATCTTGATTGATCTGCCTTGGGGTAAGATCCATCCAGAGCTTGGGACAGACACAGGCCAGTCTCTTACTGGGGACAAACCTGCTCTACTCTGCCTCTAGGGGGTTCAAGGACAGAGGGCTGGCCGGGCGGGAGGGGGGGGTGGCCTTGGGGTGGGGGTGTCACATCCGGGTTGCTCTGCTGGGCGAACGCTCTGCCCGGAGCCGTGCCCCAGCCTCACTCTCACTCAGGTTTGGGCTTGTTTTTTGGTTTGTTTTGGTATTTTTGTTTGGAGACAGGTCTTACTATGTAGCTCAGGCTGGTCTTGAACCCTATAGAGCCAAAGCTGCCCTGATCTCCTGACAGTCCTACTGCCTCAGCCTCTGGCATACTCGGATTATAGGTGTGCGCCACCATGCCCAGCTCCCATTGGGGTTTGAGTCTCCCCCTAGCACTTGGTTGATCCATCCTGACAACCTAGTGGCCACCTAAGTCCCAGTGTCATCAGTATGTGGTACATTCTCCTGTGGGGGTCTTGGTACCAGTATCCCTCTCTCTGGACCCGAATGCATGGGTGCTGGCTGGAGGCAACCCCACTGGTGCCTGTGGCCTGGCACTCTGCTGCCCTGTTCTACTCTGAGGAAGCTCTGAGCTCTCAGTGGGCCCCAGGGCTGGTCGGGTGCATTCTGGGTTTGGAAATTGGTTCCCAGTCTGAGCCCAAAGCACCAATGGACACCCTGGACAGCACCAATGCACACCCTGGCTGCTTGCATGTGCAGCGAGGGGCAGAACAAAGCGACATCCTACAATGCCATCTGTCTTCAGCCCTTCTTTGCAACTTCCAACCCCACTCAATGGACTTTGAGCTGGGACAGAGGCGCAGACTTAAATGAGGGGGCAAGGGGACATCAGCTGCAGTGCCAAAATTAGAAGTGTGGCTCAAGAACCTTGCCCTGCGGACCCTGGCTCGCCTCATTATGATAATCAGTGTGTTTTCCCTTCCCAGACAAAGAAGGCTCTCCTTATGAGACGAATATTGGAATCCAGCAGCTACCTCATTAGTGTCTGCGGCCTCTTGCTTAGACAAGGCCCAGGATTAGCCCTGCGTTCATTAAGGGACAAGGGCAGAAAGTGGAATAAAACTGAAACCCCCACCTGGGCAGGGGGACGCTTTTCTGCTGGCCATTCATTCGTGGCAATACTGCTCGAACCTTGGGACTTAATCACCAGGGAGCAAGGAGGGGTGGGAGAGAAGGAGGTTAAACTGGATGGAAGGAGTTAAAATCCCAAAATGGGGAGATTTGATTTGAAAGCCTGCTGGGATTTGTCATTGGGGTAATCAATTTAAAAGCTTCCTCCTGTTTTCTTTCTTCTAACCCAATGCAACCTAAGAGGAAAGCTTTTTCCGGATGAGTTTTGGGTGAGTTTTAGTATTTTCTAAGTCTCCCTTTTCCTGCTTTTTTTGGGTCTTTAATGCCTTTATTAAAGTATTCTTTTTCTCTCTCTCTCCTATACCCCTCCTCCCTCTCTGCTTCTTTATCCTGTCTGTTGTCCTCCCGTGGGAACTGGTAAGAAAACTTAGACCCCAACTGCATATTCGCATGAGTGTTTAATTGACCTTCTCAAGCCCCTTCCCTAGTAGTGTCTGGTGCTTACATGTGTCAAAGCCTGCCGTACATAGCCTGCCGGGTAAAGACTGTTAGCAACTTGCTACCGTGACTAACAGGGGACTTGAGAGAGCTGATCTATCCCACAGTGCTGGACTCGAACCCAGGCCAGCCAACTCCCGAGGGCTCAAGGCAATGCCACAAGAAGCAGCAGACTTGGAAGCTGGCAGGTCTGGGTGTGTGAGTTCCCAGGCCAGGCGTCTCTGTGAAGTGTGTGTCCATGGAAGTGAGTCGGAGCCGCAAAGCCATGTGAGAGGAGGCACAGGGTGTGTGGTGTTGAGCTACAGAGACGTTACCTGGCGGGAGCCGCTGGGCGGAGCAGAGCGGGTCGGGAGGCATGGGTTGAAGAGGACATGGAGGTGAGGGAGGAAAGCAGTGGAGACAGGCCTTTCGAGAAGCTGGGCTGCGGAGGAAAGAGAGAGACTGGAGTGGCCAGAAGGGGACAGGAGGGACCTGGAACTCCAGGCTTCGAGGAGAGCAGAGTCAGGACAAGAAGGAGGCTGAGATGGAGGTGCAGGCTGGAGACAGGTTCACGTCTCCTGTTGAATCTTAGGCAATGGGGACCTGGGGGGGCTGGATCGGAGGAGCCACTTGACAGCCTCTGTGTCCCTGGGTGGTGGCAGGCCGGTCCTGGGTCAGGACAGGGAGTTGTGAGGATCAAACGAATGAACCATTGCAAAAAGAGACACAGCGCTTGCTCTGGCCTCTCACTGGGAGCAGAGACCCTCCCCATCAGCCGGGCTCTCACTGAGCCCTGGAGGTCACCAGCCAGGAGTTACAGGTCCTGAACATGAAGGATATAAAAACCAGTGGTGAAAGCTCCTGCCAGTCTCTGAAGACAAAAGGTCCCCTCCTAATAGCCTGAATTAACTCAAAGCAGGTCCCCACCCACTTCATTTGTTACCTTCTAAGCCAGCCTTCCACCTCCATTTGCCACATAATCCAATCAGGCCCTTCCAAACTCTCGGCAGCTATTGTCCACACCAAGCTGGGCTTCTCTAAAGCCACCCAGAGTTGTTTTTGTCTTGTCTGGACAAAACTGGTTGGCTCAAAAGGGGACCAAAGAAAGTACTGGCCAAATGAGGACCCCAATTAGCTTGCAAGAGATTGTTTTCATTATCTTTGTGTCCCATACCTAGCCTGGCACATTAGGCATATTGTCAGCATTTCAGAAAATGTTTGCTGAATTAATTCCACTTTTACTGATTCTGAAATTTATTTGTTGAGTGCAAACACCCAGAGGAACCTGCTGGGTGCTGCCTGTGATCAGGAAAGGAGCAGAGGGCTGGACAGGGGACACCAAGGGGTGGCCTGGATTTAAGTGTCCTGCAATTTCCACAGCAATTTACAAAGCACTTTCATTGGGGTTACATCATTTGGCCTTCAAAAGCACCCTGTGGGGTAAATAAACTAGGGTTGGGGTTTTTGAGTTTTGTTTTTTTGTTTTCAATCCCCATTTAGACCCATGAAAGGAACTAAAAGTTGGAGAAGTTAAGCAACTTGTTGAAGGTCACACCGTTATTAAGAGGTGCAGGCAGAACATGGAACCGGCCTTGTGGCCACTCAGACCCCAAGACCACCCTGGACAGCTGCAATTTCAGACAGGCTGCCCCACTGTCAAACGTTTGATGAAAAATAAAAGAACTCCAGGCCAGGGGCACCAGGAGGATCAGGGGCAGCTACAACACCACCCAGGGCACAACTCTGACCCCTTCTCTTGCCAGCAATGGAAAAAATGCTTACATTCCTCCCCTTTAGCTTCCCCTGCAAATGTGAAGACCTGCCCAGTGGGACAGGTCTTGAGGTAATCATCCTGCTCCCTGCCTACCTTTTTCACATTAAGCAAATCAAAACCAAATTCACCCAGGTCTGTCAGTAAGGCCACCTGGTGACATGTGGAGATTCCATATGAATCGTGCCATTTGTGCTATGTAGAAAGTGCTCTGAAAGTTACCATGTGCATAATTCATGTCCTTACTCAAGTCCACCCTCTGGCCGGTGTCTCTGTGTCGCCCCTGCCTGGCACAAGGAGATCCCCATGATGGGGGCTGTCGGAGTCTGTGGGAGAATAAATAAGACAAATAAGACCAAGCTGGGTGGGACAGAACACAGCTGGCAGACTGTTCAACAAGCATTTGCTGACCGCCTCCTCTATGCCCGCCTAGACCTGGGCTACTTTAGCTCATTTAATTCTCACAACCACCTAGGAGGTTGCTCAGCATCCCTGCTCCCCAGAAAGGACAGGGAGGTCCTGGGAGAGGTGGGCCTGCCATTGGCAGTCAGTCACATGCTCATTCCAGAAGCCTGCCCAGGGCCCTGGAGTTGCTCTTGGCCCAGGTCCCCCTCCTGAGAAATTCCCAAAGGGACCACTCCACTCGGGAAGGTGTGTGACGACGCAGTCAGTTGAGGAAGACTGACACCCCGGGGGAAGGAAGCACCAGTTGCCTTGCAGGTGGACACAGCAATGACACACAAGAGACAAGAGTCAAGCCACAGGCAGGGTGAAGGTCAGAGGGAAAGGCCCAGTGCCCCCTCACTAGGGCATTGGTTTAAGTCTTCAGCCCCGAGGGACAGCTGCTGGCCAGTTCCGGGCGTCTTCGTCCTGTCCTTGCAGCGGCTGGTCCTGGGGGTCTGCTGGTGGCTGCTGGGTGGGGTGAAGGGGTCCAGGAAACCATGCTCTTGGTGCCCTATCCAAATGAGGACCTGCATAAAAGCCCAAGGCAAGGTATTAGTTACAATAATTACAACTCATTAGGTAAAAGTTAATTGTCTTTAGTAGCAAATGGATCTGGGGGCGGTAGAGGAAGGATGGCAGGATCAGGCTTCACCCGCCATGTTGCTTGCAAGACCCAAGAGGTGGGGGCTGAGGTACCGTGAGGAGGAGGTGGGCGGCAGGCGTCTGGCATCAGCTTGGCATCCAGGGGAGGTGGTCCTTGAGGACAGGGGGTGAGTCCATGATGTCATCCCTGAAGAGACACCCTATAGCATGGGAGGGGGCCCAATTAGAACCATCTTGATGACCTCTAATGGCCAGCAAGGCCAGAGCAGCCAGCAAGCCAACGCAGGAACGTCAGAGAAAGGGAGGGGGCAGCTGGAGGGAAAAAGAGGCAGAGGAGGAGGGAGGAGGGAGGGGGGGTGGAGGGGACAGAGGGATGAGGAACATGATAGGGGAGGGGGAGAAGATAAGAAGAGAACTGGAAGGGAGGAGGGAGAGGAGACCTAGGAGGGAAAGAGCACTGGGAGGGGGTAAAGATGACTTGATTGACAGGTCACAAGTGTTAGCTGAACGCGCCTGCGCATCTCAAAGCCCCAAACTAGTGGGCAGGAACCACTTGCGCGAACACATCACTAGGGGGCGCACAGCCAGCAGCGGAGTCAGACAAACAGCGCAACCACCTGCGGCACCCCGCCCGCTCCAGAGCTCAGCTGCCAGGCCCAGGATGGCGAGAGTGGGCGCAGGGCGCCCAACAGGTCTCAGGCCCAGTGCGCACAGCCCACCCGGGCCCTCGTAGAGGACCGCTAGGTCTCCAGATGGCCTCCCCAGCTGCCGCCAGCCAGAACCCACTGATGACATCGGGCCGCGCCCCCCCCACGAGGGCCCAGGGGGTCTCCCGCGCCCCCTACCACCGGGGTCGCCTCGCACCAGAGACCTAGGACAGCAAGGAGTCCCCGCCACCGGGGTTCTCCTAGAGCACGATTCCATTTGCAATAAGAAAAACCAGACACCTTCGGCAAATCCAATTAAACATAAGTTAATTACCATGCAAAAGGGCCAGTTCTCAGCACACCATTTTGGCCTGTTTTTTGAGGTCTCAGCATACACGATATAAAATAAAATAGACCACCTTGGCTCTTCGTCCTTCGCCTCCACGCACCGACAACCCCCCGCCCCCAAATCTCATCTCCTCCTACGCCACAGACTCAAGACCCTCACTGAGACGCCCATTACCCTATTTCCAGCCTCGTCCTCCTGTTCAAAAGAGCCACACTTTCCGAGACCCCCGAAACCAGAAGACTCTCACGACACCCCAACGCGCACGACCTGAGCAGTGACGCATCTCTGCCAGAGCAAATCCTGCAGACGCTACACAGCAAACCCGAAGCCCGAAATCCGCTTCCCCCTCAGGTAAGCGAACCCAGAACCCCGCTCCCCAGTAACCTCCCCTCCCGACCCCTCCAGGAGAGGAACAAAGGCCACCTCCCCTCCCCACCCCGCCCCCCAAAATTCCACAGTGCCACCGGCGCCCTCTTGCGGCCAACAAGAAAACCTTCCAGAAACCTGCCACGTAGCAGCCCTCTTGCGCCCCCACCCCAAGCCCGCCAGCCCAGGGTGGGGAGGGGGCAGCTTGGGGGCCCTTGACTGGGACAAAGAACCTGGTAAAAGGCGATTTTGCCAAAAAGTCAAAGCCCGTAACACGTCAGAAGCTTCCAGCGACCATCATGCGCAAAGCTGATAGGACACCCCGTCCCCCCCAACTCCCAGCATCCAGACCCCTCCCAACACACCCCCTTTTCTACATTTCTCATCCTTCTCGGACCTCAACACACGGCTCAAGTCCTGTTTTTATCCCACCTGTGCCCCAGCCCCTTGGTCCTCCGCTGGACCTCCCCTCCCTGCCGAAGCGGTCCCTGCCGAGCTGGTCCTGGGGGGCTCCTGACAGGTTCGCACTTGGACACTGCGTCTCCCCACGAGCACGTTGCGCATCCAGGGGATCCAGCTTTCACGTTTTACTCTCGGTTTTGCCCAGACCCCACTCGGCACTAGATCTCGGCACTGGGATCCAGAATGCTGGTGGATAGGAACCTCCACCTCTCATGCCCACGGTGCGCCAGAAACCTGGCTGAAGACTAGGGGGGAAATATCCCCCGAGACCCCTCTCCTGGCTGCTTCCCCTCCATCCCGGGCGCCCACACTGCACCAGCGCCATGTGGCCCTCTCTGAGCATGATCCTGAAGGCGTTTTCAAACCCAGAAAATCGGGGTTTGGGACCCCAGTGACTGCGAGGAGGTTGGATCTGCTTCCTCCTGGTCCCCTTCGTCAAGAGTCGCTGCCACCCAGCCTGTCCTCTAGGACTGGACTGGTCGAGAAAAGGACCCTGATGCTCCCCCCCCCCCCAGCAGGAAAATGTGCCTGAAGATTCCCCTCCTGACAGAATTTCATGTCCTGATGCTCAGGGACCAAGGCCAAGAGGCCACCTTCGGGACGGACCCTGGCATCGGTCGGCATCGTGTCCAGGAGGACAGAGCCCAGCCCAGCGGGGATGTCATCGTCTTTCTGCACACCCCTGGGGCAGGGATGGCCAACCACTCACCAGGTGCGCAGCTCTGGCATGGGCACCGCGCTCTTCGGAGGAGCTGGCCAGGGCTTCAGAGCCGAGGCGCGCGCTCCTTCCAGCTCGCCGCCATCTGCGCTGGGGGCTGGCTGGGTGGGTTTTATATGGAGGCGCAGAGGGGGTGGTCTCTGACGTCAGCGCATTCTGCTGCAATGCGCTCATTTCTCTAAAAGTGATTGGCCAGAAAAATGAGCCCCCCAGATTCTATGACAAATTGCTTTAGCCGCACCCAGATTGCAGCCGAGAACGGAGGAAAAAAATCTGCCGCAGTGCCCCTGGCCGCCATGACCAACACCCTGTGGTCGCCGCTGCTTGTCCCTCGGTGAGCCCTGGCCGGAGGGCGAGGGCGAGACGTGTGCACCAACTGTGGGGAGGCCACCCCCAAGGAAAGGTCGTCCCTAGGTGGGCTGAGAGCGAAAGGTGGGAGCCCGGGAGGGGGGCGGCCGACTGCACACCTCTCTGCTTCTGAGCACTGGTCAGAGGGTGCGGGCTGGGGAGGAAAACGACGCTTTCTGCTTATTGTTCTGGAAGATGAGCAGCCCCGGGGCAGGATAACTTGCTCCCAGATGTCGGCCTGAGGCCGTCGCCCCTTCTCCCCCACCCTGTTTCTGACGCCCGTGCTTGGACACAAGTGATTCGGTGCAGCATCCTGGGATCGCGAGCCTGGCTTGCAGTCCCGGGCTGTGTCGCTCGCAACCTGTGTACCCAGAACTGCGAAAGCGCCTCGTACTCTTCCCGGGGCTGCGGGGTGTCGCTTCCACTTAGTAAGGGGTACCCCCCAACCGGGACTTCCAGAAGTGGTGTGTAGATGTGAGCCGAGTCCACCTTAGAAAAGTACTTTTCCAGTGAAGACGGGGTCCTGTGTGAAGATGCCCGGAGCACCCCTCCAGAACTGGGGTGACTGCCACACACGCATGCTCTGACAGGGCACCCCCGCCCCGCAGCTCCGCTGCCGCCCCGCGCACCCGGGAAACAGGCAGTGACACATGTTGCTGCCGCACTAACTGCACAGCCTCGTGCTCGGGGACTTGGCACATGAGACTTAATCCTTAACAGGTGGCCCTGGGCAGTTCTGCCAGGCCCTGAGTGGCACAGTGGCAGTGCCGTCGATCAGATGTCCTCTGCAAAGGTCAGAATGCTGTTGAAAGGGACTAGGAATCTATCTTGGGGTGACAGGTGGGTAGCAGCCGGTGGGAAGGAAGGAGTATCTGATTATAGAAAAGGGACAAGAATGCGCTATGGACCCTAAAGGAGAAAGCCGCGGAGCCCCCAGGGTATCAAGTTAGAGAGCTCCCCCACACTTCTCTTGGGGGTTTCAGGCAGCTTCGAGCCAGACCCCATGCCTTGCGATGCTCGGCAGTGGCGTCATTCAGATAAGAGACCCCGGGGCGGGGCGGAAAGGAAGGGAGAGAGACAACTTCTAAGCAGGCGGAAGTGGAAGGTGACCATAAAATCGCCACAAGCCTGGAGCCCGGGACAGGGGGCACTTCCCATGTGATCTGTCATGAAGATGTGAGACGCTGGAGGACCTCACGGGGAGCCACTTGAACGTGTCAGATAACGGGGGGCGGGGCGCTCCATTTACAGCCTGTGGAGCATGCAAGGAGCCTCGGAAACGAGAGCCCCGGAAGCAACATTTGCAGAGGTAGAAAGGCCCAAACCAATCGCAGATATCAAGAAACCTTCAAAACATCATGGCTCCGAGAACCCCACTCAACAGGAGGACGTTTATTAACCACGGTATTAATAGCTAGGAAACAGCCAGAGCTGGCCGGGGCCAATCAGCAGCAAGAAGCCCCTGTCGTCAAGCCCCAGCGGCCAATCAGACACCAGTAGGCCCAGTTGCTAGCCTCTGGGGGCAGAGGCTAGGGGCGCGCTTTGTCACGGGGCTCGTGTTCGGGCTCCGCGGGTGGGAACAGAGGCGGCCACCAGAGAGCATCAGTAGACACGCACTTGGGGCCCTGGAGGTGGTCTTAGACCCCGCGCCTAGTGCGTCAGCCCCGAAACCCAAATAAGGAATGCGTTGATGCTCTGGTGAGCTCCCCAGGCCTCAGTTGGGGTGTCCCTGGGGGGCCTAAGAAAGAGGAACCTTCCCACACCCAGTGTCCAGTGTCTCCCCTCAAGGCCTGGCACCCAAGGGGAGAGTCGGGCCTCCCAGCCCAAGGTGGGCCTCTGCTGCCGTGGGGCCCCTGGTCCCTCAGCCCGCTGTGCAGACTCTACAGCAGCTCCACCCTGGGCCTCCCCGCCTTACTGACAGCCCAGGGTGAAAGACCCTCCATTTCTGAGGAAAGCATGGCGGGCTTGAACCTCAGCTCCGCTCCCTCCTCTCTGGGAGGCTGAGGTCCAGGCCCTTCCCCTCTCTGGACCCCTGTTTCATCATCTGGAAAAAGGAAAGAGTTGGACCAGAGAGTCCCCAAGGAGCCTTCCAGTCCTGCTTTGCTTGATTTGAATGTATACATCGGGCGAGTCAAATGTCTTCCAGAACATTCTGCATGACAGTAATTAGTATCAGGTGTATCCTGCAGTCCATGTGGTTATTTCATCATGCTGCTTTTCTTTCCATTGTATTTTATTTTAAACAGAACTCCATGGCAACATGTTTATCCTTCTGGCTTCCTAAAAGAAAGAGAAAGATAGAAGAGAAGAAAAAGCAAAAGGAAAAAGAAAAGACTGCTGTAAACTAATCTCCACAGAGCATGGTTTAACCACAATAAAAAAAAAAAATTCCATATGTTTAAATGTTTTTGTTGGCTTTTCTGGGGCTCAGAACCTAACTTTGGAAATATTTATTGGTCCAAAGGCAATGGAAGAAATTCTCCAAGAACCCAAGGCCTATGGTAGAGTTTGGATCTGACAGCTCCTCACTCTGGGCAATGCTGCTCCAACAGGACTCGGGAGAGCTGAGATTCGTATCTACAGGGGAAAACAGATGCGGAAATCCAGGGTTGAGCCGCAGAGCACTTTCTCTGGGTGCGTGCTGAGACCCAGCTCCACCAGCCTGGAGGGGAGCCAGTTCCCAGACGCAGGCTTAGCCTGCTGCTGCTGCTTCTCCTTCTTCTTTCATGTAGATCGAACTCAAAGCACACATTTTTTTCTTCTTTTTTTTTTTGACTCATACTTGGGAATCCTCAAAAGCCGTGTGAACAGTCTCCTATCCACACATACATACTTTCGGGCAAGAGTACAAACGTCCTAAGATTCAGCCAGGAAGTGAACACAAGGTCCTCTTTTTTATCTCCCCGGCATGGGCATGGGTAAATGTTCTTACTTCTCAAAATCCCTCCTAAGGCTACTGCAAAACGGCAGACCCCAGTGAAGGGCTGGCCTCTCTAAGCGACTTTCTGGGAATTCCAGGTCTCCTAAATGTTAGTGTCCCCATGCCCTTGCCACCTTGGCTTCTGCCAATTTAGCTACAAGCAATGCTGGTTGGGTCCTAATTGCTAGTTCCCATTCCAGCCTCTGGCAATTTAAGTTCCTCAAGGTCATAGGTCCCTGACCCCCCTCCCATGCCACCATCGACCTAGCCAAAGTTAAAGTAGCTGAGAACTCTCGGAGGATGTTTGTTTGTTTGTGGGGCCAGAGCTTGGCATTGCCAGCTACAACCTCTGTGCTTCCCAAAAGATGCAAGACTAAGCACCGACTAGTGAAGGGGTTCTAGGAAGTGTGGCTCAAACAGTAGCCCTGTCTTTTCGGGTCCTAAAAGAAAAATAAAGTTCAGTGTCTTTCGAAGAAGGTGGTGGATGAAATTGAATTCCCATAGACTACTGGGCTTCGAGGCAGCACATGTGCTTGAATTTGACCCATCACAGCCATTGCCAATGGCCAGTAGTCACCCAGGAGCAATGTCAACAGCTAGCTCCTTTCCTTCTTGATGCTTCGGGGCACACACCTGGGGGCAGGGTGGCTCCGCTCTTCTGGAAGAGTCTTCTTAATGAAGACCAGTGAAAATGAGCTGGAGGCCAGAATTCCCCAAATGGTCCCATTCCTTGTTCTGGGTGAAAAGATTTTTCTTCTTTCTACTTTTATGACTTTCTACACTGGCAAATACTGCTTTGATGTTGTGCATCTTTTTTTTAGCAAATGCACCAGCACAACAAGGCTGGCTGTTTTTGCCCCTTCCATAGGAACCTCAAATATAAACTCTTTTTCTAATAAATAAATAAACAAACAAGAGACTCAGGATCCATGGCCTGCATGGTGTAAGACACGTCCTGAACCGAGGTGCCCGCCCATGGGCAGTGGGCAGGCACGGGCAGCCGGGCAGCTGTGCCATGCTTCTTCAAAGGCTCCCTTGAACCCGACACGGAGTAAGATGGTTTCATCCCCACAAGAAGGGCCTAGAAATCTCCTCACTAGCATATTAAGTGTGGGGACTTGGTGAGGCTGCGGCTGCCTTGTGTTGGACTTTGGTTTTTTGGTACTGGGGATCAAACCCGGGTCCTTGCTCTTGCGCAGCAGGTGGGAAAACCAGAGCTAAATCCCCGGCCCTGCAATTGACTTTAGAAGTCACATCTTGACACTAGGCAAAGGTGGCCATGTCGACCCACTGTCCCCCACCCCGTCCCCCCTGGTTTTGGGCTTGGGCCAGACTTAGATACAGGCAAGGGGTTGGTTTTTTTGGCCCAACTCCATGGAAATATTTCAGTGCAGCAAAGAACTGCCTCATTCAGCTGCCTGCGGCTAGGGAGGGGGTGGCTTTCGCGGTGTTGACACAGAGCAGGAGGCCTGCGGAGGGACCCAGAGGAAAAGTATATTCCAGGTAGAACAAGACTGAAAAGTTTGCTTTTTTTTTTTTAAACTAAAAGATTGCTGACAGTAGAAAAACCTCCAGCCCACCCGATAGGCTCCAGGAGAAGACAGTTCTGCGGCAAGGTCTAGAAACGTCTTGGTGTGAGAAGGAAGGGGCCAGGACACGCAGTGGAGACCCAGGGGCTGGAGTGGCCTCCCTGGCCAGGCCTCGTGACGTCCAGGACTCCGAGCTGATGGCGCTACCAGCTCCCTGGTGGAGAGTCCAGCGTCCCAGGGGGATCTGCCACAAGAAGCCAGGTGCTGGAGATGGCTGTCCCAGGCCCAACCAGAGGCAGAGACCGAGGGCGGCCCAGGT